TGATATTTTTTTTTTAAATTTGTTAAATTTTTCTGAATTGTGCACAACGTTTTAACTTTTATGCTTTATGTTTTCTACTAAATGTATTAAAAAAATCACAGAAAAAAAATTATCACGTAAAACATAGGGATTATTGTAAAAAATAAATGTGTGCTGAATGGAAGAAATAACTTGAAAAAAATTTTGCCGTTAGGTGCCGCGGGGTCGATTTTTCTTTTTTTTTTATTAACCACCAATAAAAGCTTCTTTTATTTTTTTTTACATTACTTGTTATTTTATATTCGTCTTACTTTTTAATTTCCGTTGCATTTGACTTCCATTACAAATACAAGAATATATGCTTATAGCTCACATTTTTTTTCGCATAACAAGTTTAATATTTTTTCACGCACTTCAAGACAATAATTTGTACTTCTTATATTTTATTTTCGATAAACAACTATATATCGCAAATAAATCGCAATAAGTTTCCTCACTGAGGAAGTGATTCGCGGTGCCGGCGCGGTCGCAGAAAATTTGACGAGCACAAATAAAATTAATTAAATTATGCGCGTGGACAACACATTGGAAACTAATTAGAACACAGCCGGATCAGCCAGCTGACTTGTGCTGACAGTTGTATTTTTATTTTTATTATATTATTATTATATATTTAAAAGCAACAGAATGCGCATAACACCACAGGTGACCACAGGCTATCCGTCGTAGAAGTCATCGAGAAACTGAAGCTCACAAGTTTTAGATTGACAAAAGAAAATCACATAAACGATCAGAGGCGCAATGCGAGCGCGCGAATACAATAACAACATAAATTTATGAGATATAGTAGTTACAGATATCGAAAAATATACGAGAGCAAACACATACATACACACACATGCCCGTATAAACATAGTGACAACACGATAAGGCGATTTGTGCGGAGCAAGGAGCAACAAATTGACAAAAGGTCATTTGAGTAATTTCATCAGTATGTACAATAATAATAACAATAGCACATTACAGTTGCAATATCTAAGTTACTTTTGTTGGCTGCATGACTACTGTAATGAGTGCAAATGTGTATGAGTAACTCATGCACTGGCCGGCCGAGTGTGATTGTTTGTGTAAATTTATTAATTGGTTGAAATTTAATTGAAGCAATTAAAGTTCATGTGTTTGTACCGTTTTGGGTTGGAGGTAGAGTAGAGTAAGTGAAACAATAATAATCAAGCAGCACGTTACAGTACTGAAATAATTCCCTGACGCGTGAATAGTCTAACTATGAGAAACGAAAGCGACAACAGGAAAGAATTAATTAAAAATCAAAATCTCTACAAAAAATCACTTAAAAAATGCGATGATGTCAGCGCACTTGGTCGGCATGAGATTGCACTACATATATTCTGATATTCTTACCGATTTTTATTTGCATTCGCAATGAAAAATCACAGTATAAATACATACATAGGTATGAATGTACATTAGACCGTACCACTTTACAAGCAAGCAAAAAATAAAAAATAAAAAAAAATTCCGTACATCCCTGATTATAAAGTATTTTTGCAAGGCAGGGTCGATTTTTTCCGTACTCTTTTATATTTTTCGGTGACACCTATGTATGTATGTACATTCGGCATTGCATTTTTTAATAGTACTGGAATAACCAAAAAGCAAAAGTTTAATAATTTTTATAAAACTTTAATTTACGTACATTAGGGCGGTACGTTACGGTGGTAAGAAGTGAGGTCTGGTGGTTAAGTACTACAACGGGGTACTTGAAATCAATGAACTCTGGCACAAGCAAATTTTCCTCTCGAGACAAAAGCATCGATATACATACACTAGGCGACAAATAAAAGTATACGCCTTGTTCTAATATAATATTCACAATTATTTTCATGAACAATTATTTGCATTAATTATTGATTAAAATATGGTTCATTCTATAATATACACCATATTTCAAATTCAATTTGAAGCATTAGTACAATAAGATTTACAAACATATTTTTTAGTTTAAAGTTTCACACTTTATATAAAGTTCAAAAAAATTCCAAAAATTTTCATCAAAAATTTCAACTGTTTATTCAGAATTTCTGGAAAATTTTCGAGTATGCAGTTTTATTGGCCATTCAATTTTAGCATATAAAAATAAATTATGTTTATTCGTTATATGGAAGCAAATGCGACTTGAAACTTGCACTTTGTTTTCCTAAGCAAGGTGCATACCTTCATTTGTCGCCTAGTGTACATTTGATACTTTAATATCAGACTCTAAACGCCGAAGACGTGATGAAAAACGTAAGAAGTCGAAATAGCCTTGCAATAAGTTAAAGAGTAGAAAAAATATTCTTAAAACAAGCTTTCTAATCTCCTTCTCCACCTATCGGCAAAAATTTCGTGGAGTAATATACATATGTTCGAAATACAAACTAAATCAGACCATAGAAGCAGGTACATCGACCCCTGCGCCACCTACCGGCTAAATTTCCTGCGGACTTATTTCCTTCCATGTAGGTAATTCAATTATGACCCAAAAAATTATTACCATGAAAAGTGGGGATCTACGGGGTAATTTCAAGATTCTCGAACCATTTCTGAATGATCCCGCTATCCAGCTCACCGACATCTTGCTAAAGAAATTATTCTTCTACAAGCCCGACAAGGTCAGAATTCCTGAAAGGGACTGCTGTGTCTTGATAGTTTAATGACGGGAGTACTGTGGCAGGCGTATTTGGACCAAGGGAGGGTCTTAGAACTCTCACTTTATATTCCGACGCAGTCATTAGCAAGAGATTGTAACAAATTGCTGCAACAAAAATTGCAACTTGCAAGGAAGGGCACTTACTTACCTTCCACTTTCGCAGTATTGGAAGTCATTGGGTACGTCGCTCACCACCTGCAAGCTTAATACACAAGTATCCTTCTTATCAGAAGCAAACTCAAGATGGAAACACCTTGATATCTGCAATATGACAAAATTTATGTGGCCCGACTAGGACTTGAAAAGATCGAGGGAGTTTGCTATGCTGAGCAGAGGAGAAATACGTTTGGGTGAGTGCCTTTTAATGACTTGTGCAGGAACGAGGAGGTATCTGAATAAGTAAGGCACTTACTTTGCGAACTTCCCACACTGAGTAGGAGGGTACTGAGGGTAATGGGTGCTGTAACCGTCGGACATAAAAATAAAGCGATTGTAAAGGAGTCCCCTCGATCGATTCACAGTAGGTCCGTTTAGTGTTATTATCACTTAACCTCCCTTTGGGGAGGTTTCTGATTGCCATGTACCTTGTAAGGTTGTAGCCTCTTAGTAAGCATTTAGCCTGGCGTAAATCTGGAGATGAAGCGTTTGAGCTCTTCCTTGATTGTGCTACGTCCCATCGCATGGAAGGGCTTAGGCTCTATACCCTCAACTCCTATGTGACCTGGTAGCCAATTTAGTTGGATGTCATTGTGCTCTGCCAGACGGTATCGATCGTGGTTATTGGCTTAAGAAAGAAATGGATAAGGAACCATGTAGCTGATCAGGAAGCACATTGAAGGATCTAAAAAATACTGAACTGCAGGGAAGGAGGCTATTCCGAAGAGTTTGATATCGCTGAGGATCTGGATATATGTACTTGTGTGTGAGGCATGATCAGATAGCTAGGCATAACTTTTGGCTATTGCATCTACCGAAACGAAGTCTAAGCTGGTCAAAAAAAATCCATGAAGAAGCTACGTTCGTTGACTTGGCGAATATTCATATTTCTTGTTTGGGTTTGGCAAAGCACAAGCTTGTTCCGATGAATATGCCGGTGGTACTGGGATACCCTTTCAGACAAATACAAGCAGATATCCGTTGAAAATTTTCGAAATAAGCAAAGAAGAAGAAGGTGTCAGGGATTCCCAGACTTGTAAGATAGCGCGTGAGCTTTAGCCTGACTATAGCAGAACCAAAACAGTCGATCTGCTAAGTAGCTTAAGTAGGATTGTTAATGATTGTAGCAGCTATCACCGGCCATTGGCTGTTAGAGAAGCATGATTAAAGAATAGGACTTCCCTACAACAGGTTCTGCTGCAACTACTGCTTGGATGGTAGTGAGGAAATAGTATCAGTATTAAGCATAATTTCTTAATTACTTAAACTCTACTTAAGACACATGGCATTCTCAACAAAACGAATATTTATGATATCGAATTTTGGGCTAGTTCGATTAGGAGAGCGTTTATGCAGAGTTCCATACTTTGACTTGGCAGCATTTGCAGTTGGCTATAAAAGCAGACCAGTTTCCGCACTAAAACGAGCTGATAATGCACTAGTTTCACTACATATATTCTGACAGACAACGAAATACAAATTCGACAGAGTATTCAAAAATCAAATAAAATCAAACACATACACACTTTCATAAAATATGTACGACTGGCTGTCAAGTTAAATGATGACCCCCAGTCCAGTGACGCGTCTGAACTCACAAAAGTCACTGCGGGAGTGGCCACTGATTTATTCTGTTTCTTTGGCGCGCACAAATCTCGCCAAAATTACTACATTTGCATACACAATTATTTCCTTTATCAGCACAATGTGAAAAGCTTATGATATGCACTTATTTGTAAGCAGCTGACAATGCAGATTTTTTTGTTTAATTTTTCTTTTTCACAATCATTGCGAATTGCATTCAATTGAGTTGTTTTAGCGAATACAACGCGTTAGCTTTTGCGAGGAGCTATTTCGCGTTAGAAGTACATTCTCTTTGAAAGATAGTCGCATTACTGAGTACCTACAAGCACTCGTATTTACGTTGCAACATTCCGGGTGAAAAACAAATTTCTAACAGCCGGGGTTTGGGGTGACGCTAGTGAAAGCGATAACGGCGTCTTGCAAAACTTGAGCGCCATAATTTATGAGCGCTACCAGCGCATTATGAAGTACTTTAAGTTTCATATGAGCGATTTTGGGTACTCACTTAAATTCGAAAAGTCGTTAACCTCGAAACTCATAAAATATTTTTATAAAAATTTGGGTTTTAAATATTTCAGTATAAGCTGTAGGATGTAAAATTACTTCGAAATTTCTCTGGATAATTATCCGGTAGTTCTGGTGTGTCTAACTAAAAAATAATTTGGGAATCTGGCTAAAGCCGATTTGTCGCAAAGTGGAACCTGTTCTTCCCTAACATTTTTACTATGTATTCTATTTTGACTTATAAATA